CGGGGCACCAAACTGGGCACACTTGTACATAAAACTACACAAGTGAGCAATAATGCCATCTTTCAAAAGCCCACATCGGCCTTGTAACCATTCATGCATTTCACACCTGCATACTCTATCCAGAAATTAGAATAATCAGGAAAATAATTTTACTACTGTATATTAAAATCCTAAAGCACACCTTATCCCATAATGGCATTCTAAGGCTTCTAGAACACTAGAAAGACCTGCAGTGCACCTTTCCCAGGGCTGTCCTCTCTGGTTAGGGCTTAGCTAACAAGAATTCCCTATTTTTTACTCCCCTTTCTCTCTCAAGCCCTTACCCAGTTTTCTTTTTTACTGCACTGGTAGAGCAGCACTTCAGCAGAGGACAGACACCTTGATAGATACATATTATCCATCAATATCTGCTCCTCATCAGCATCTGCACACTTAATGTGTGCCAATTTCTAGGTAGAGGCTAGTATATTTAAGTATCACTTGTAAGAAAGTCTGACAAAATGCTGGGCCATGATTTTTTTCCAAATCATGTTTCTTTCCTTAAAAATTAAATTGTAGTTTGCATGTGTGTATGCCTCTTCTTTTGATGCAAAAAATATTTTTAATGTTTCTTCACTTACCCCATTCATGTATTTATTCAGGGCTTGATAAATGACTTCCTGATACTTCTTTCTAATCTTCTCAAAGTCACAGTCAGTGAAATTGTAGGTTAGCACCAGCCCTACCAGTTGTAAGATGAAGATCTTCCTGAAAAAAACTGACAGAACAAATAATAAGGCATCAGGCAATATACTTGGAAACTCAACTCCACCCCTGTTTCGCACTAAAGTCTTTCCACCCACACTGAATTGCCTCTAGATCTGCAAGGCCTGCCTTAGGGGCACATGCCCAGGCACCAGTCTTTGTCTCTCATTCCCAGTGCACATGAAGCCCATATTCACCCATGCTGTTGCCTTAAGTTGGAGTCTCCCTGATGCTCCAGAGCTTTCTGGCTCCACATATATAACACCTAAACGCCTACGGGCTCTTTTCTCCTAGACCAATGATTTTCCTTGATGTCATTCTCTTCCTTCATAGAATTCTGAATTGGTTACATGAAAGAAAAAAATAGAACTAGCCAAATCTATGGAATTTTCACATTGGTAAAAAACCATCAGGAATTTCCCTCACCTTCCTCCTTTTATCTTTGCCCTAAACCCTTGATATGTGCCAGAAGGTGCTTTAAGAAACAGATACCCACATCTTTCTCCTGCAGGGCCATTTCCATGACCAAGCCCCTTTCTTGTTAGAAAAAAATATCCCCAAACGACAGCCACTCTAAGGACTAGGTACCAATGCTCACTCATGCTGTACACTCTTGAGTATTTCTTTTGGACGTTTTCAACTAGTACTTTCTTTCGTCTGTGGCAACTAAAGAAACTCATGTGCTTACTTAATGGGATGCTTTGGAGGGTGGGTGCAGCTTCAGGCTTCTCTTCCATGCGAAGGCACTGAAGTGCAATGGTGACTAGAACCTGAAGCTCAGGGCCGATTCGAAGTTGACATGAATGGGAAAAGATCTGATGGGGCTCGCCCTCAAAACACTTACTTTTCAAAACTCCCTTATCAATATCAGGAAAGAAGCGTCTACTCTTGGGTGACTGGGGGCACCTCAGGGGCTCCGGTCTTCTCTAGCATGTTCTATAGGTGTCAAAAACTCTTGAAACCACAGAATCCAACTCCCCTCCACCTTCACAGCCCCACTCTAAAGGCCAGCGTAAAGACGCCGACACCGGACCAGCGGGACCCAACTGCGTCGCGCGATGTGCCGCGGTGCGCACCGGCGGAAGCTGCTGTCCAACGCGCAGCTCTCGCGAAGGCGCGCAAGATTCGTGCGCCCCGTGCGTCCTAGGCGCTTAGCCCCACGCCTGCGCAGCCTAGCAACTTCGGGCACCTGGGTCTTGAACACCCTCAAGGGTGGAGGGCTCGGGTTTGTACTTGCAAGCCCTCCTTCATCCGGAAAAGTTTAAGCGCAGCCAAATGATTCGGGGAGAGCTCCCGAGAGGATGCCTCGCCGCCTTCTCGGCTGTGGCCACGCCAACCAAGGGCTGAAGGGACGGAACGCCGGCACTCATTGGTCTTCTGGGGGATGAACCCCACTCCACCCAAGCTTGGCTCGTGCCGCCCGGGGCTCTCCAGACACCCAGCTCCCCTCTTCCTCCCTTTACCCCCACCCCTTGCGTGTCAGAGCCTGCAAAGCCCTGGTCCTTGGGAAGTTCCTAGGAATCACCGCCAAAGCAGACGAGGCAGGGCGCCCCACGTGAGTCCTAGCAAAGGTCACAGGCCGAGCGGTGCCTGGGAAGAACAGCAGGGGGTGGCGAGGGAAGCGGGAAAAGCACAGACTCAGGGGTGGGGGTGGGGTGGAGACTTGAGCCAGAAGTGAACTTTTTTCATAGAAGGCGCTCAACAGCTGGACCAGTACAGCTGGACCCAGTTCGCTGGTTAAGGCCTGGGAATAAAGAATGTGGTGCTAACAGGAGTCATGGAAAGCCGCTGATTCACTGATGACTTCTAAATGGGCTTTTCTGGAATCCTCCAAATTTAGGTGTCTTTTTTTTTTTTTTTTTTTTTTTTTTTTTTTTTTTTTTGTCATAGCAGCAAACAGCAAATTTTGGGAAAGAAATCTCGCTGCCCCTTCCCCCATCACCAACTTTTCAGGGTGTTGTGGGATGATGCCAAAGCTTGATTCATCTGCTGTGACATCAGAGGTGTTTCTGGTCAGCAAGCAGGAGCTAGGAACACAGATTTCTTCACTTGAGTTGGGGTATGCTGATGGGATGGGGACAGAAGAAAGCATCCCTCCCTGAGGTTTGACTTGCATTTTTCTAGAGTGTGACTGAGTTGCCTCCTTTCTTCTTTTGAAACTTTGTATCTCTGTGGGTCTTTGTGGAGATGATGTGGATAGGATGCCTCCTTCTCAGGCATCCTGGAAGTCATCTCTTTGCCTGCTAAACACTTATCCGTGGGGCCCCCAATTTCCTTGTCTATAATTATGTGACTTCTGAAATCACTTTGAGCATACATATCACTTTTCTGCTCAGAAACTCTTGGTATGACTCCCAGCGGTTGCCTTAACATTTACAATCATCCCTCCTTGCTTGGCTGCAAGCTCTTCCCAGCCTTATCTCCTTCATTCTGTTAGGCTTCTGCCAAATAGTATCTGATGTTAATATGCTCCATATGTGCCCTAAGCTCTCTTCTTCTCAGGCTCACATCCTCAGGTGTTGACATTGTCCTGTCATTCAATGCTCATTTCACCGGACATCTCCACAAGTGGTCTCCTACCTGCACGTGACCTCCTTCCTCCCCTTTAAGAAATACTTGTTTTAGGGATACAGGAGTACTGATGCATAGGGGCACTTGTACCCCAATGTTTATAGCAGCACTCTCAACAATAGCCAAATTATGGAAAGAGCCTAAATGCCCATCAACTGATGAATGGATAAAGATATTGTGGTTTATATACACAATGGAGTCCTGCTTGGCAATGAGTAAGAATGAAATATGGCCTTTTGTAGCCACGTGGATGGAACTGGAGAGTGTGATGCTAAGTGAAATAAGCCATACAGAGAAAGACAGATACCATATGGTTTCACTCTTATGTGGATCCTGAGAAACTTAACAGAAACCCATGGGGGAGGGGAAGGAAAAAAACAAAAAGAGGTTAGAGTGGAAGAGAGGCAAAGCATAAGAGACTCTTAAAAACTGAGAACAAAGTGAGGGTTGATGGGGGGTGGGAGGGAGGGGAGGGTGGGTGATGGGTATTGAGGAGGGCACCTGTTGGGATGAGCACTGGGTGTTGTATGGAAACCAATTTGACAATAAACTTCATATATTGAAAAAAAAAATACTTGTTTTGGGCTTCTGTGTTATGACTTCCATTCATGATGTAAAATTCCAACAATTTTTCAACTTTGTCTTTTTATTAAACTGTGAGTTCTTTGGAAGAAGGAAATGCTTTATAATACTTGATTTACTTTTTCCAAAAACATTTGCAGTGACTTCCAGTAAATGTATTGGTATCAAGAGGTAAGAAATAGTTAAGGTAAAAGAAAGAAACCAAGGAATTAAAGGAAGCGAGGATCAGGTACAAGAATCCATAGAAAATATTATTAAGAACTAGAGAATTAAGGGTGAAGAGGAGTGGAGGTATAAGCTTCCATTTAGGGAATGAATAGGTTATGAGAATAAAAGGTACAACACAGGGGATATAGTCAGTGGTATTAGCACTGGAATGTGACAGATGGTAGCTACACTTGTGAGCATAGTATAGTGAATAGACTTGTCAAATCACTACATTGTTCACCTGAAACTAATATAACATTGTGTGTCAACTACACTTCAATTAAAAAAAAAAACTGAGGAATTAAGACAAGCTCAAAAGTGGTTCTGATTTCCCAAGTAACCATTGCGAAGGAAAGAATGGGAAGAGTTGTTTTATGCCTGTGGTCCTCATCATAACCATCACGGGGTCAGTCTTATGCGCTACATGTAATAGATACTCAATAAATCCTCAATAGATTAGAGTACATTAACCTTCTTCAGAGATCATTCTTAGGAAGCAAATTATTTCATCTGAAAGAATCTCCCTAGAGACATCTTTGTCTTTTTTTTTTTCCTAGTTTTTTTGCTGTCTTCCTGCTGGAATCCACTTATGGCTTGCCTCGGGCTGTCATTCAGGTAAGAGAATCTCTGAAAATTCCTGGCATGCTGAATAACTTTCTGTTTCTTTTTTTTTTTGTTTGTTTTTTGTTTTCTCTTTCGATTTGTTCAAATGATGAAGGTGTGAACAGTATCTACATGTCCACCTGTGTAGTTAGGGAAATATTAGGTTAGGTTAGGAATAGTGTCTTTCTTCTGGTGGGAAACAGAAGTGAGATCATTTCTAGGACACTCCGATTACTCAGAGAACTTAAGCAATACTCTCACCCGTGAGCTGGGCCAGAAAATGGCCCATAACACAGCTCTTTTACCTTCACTAGAAACATCTGTCTTTCATTTGTTTTCTTAATATTTTCATTATTGTTTTTAATAATAGTTCTCTTTCTTTTTCATTCTCTTACTCTTCTTAAAAAATGTTTCTTTATTTTGAGAGAAAGCATGTGCTAGTGCGGGTAAGGGCAGAGAAGGAGGGAGGGAGTCCCAAGCAGGCTCCTAGCAGTCGGTGCAGAGCCCCATGCAAGGCTTAAACTCAAAAACTGAGATTATGACCTGAGCTGAGATCAAGAGTTGGACACTTAACTGAGCCACCCAGGTTCCTCTCTTATTCTTTCCCTGCCTCCTTGTAAATTTACTTTCTTTCTCCTCTTCTTGTAACTGTCCTGAATAGTTACGGTAGCCTAGTCTTCATGCAAAATTAAGTTTGTGTTTGAAGACATAGATCCAAGTTGTCAGGAAAAAGATATGCTATTTTTTTAATTAAAAGTTTTTATTTTATTAAAGCATAGTTTCATTGGACTTAAAAAATGAAAAGGATATTACTGATGAAAGGGGAGAGATCTTCTACTATGGGGTGAGAAAAGATGATGACACCAACCTTTGCATGGTAATATTTTACGAAGTGTGAAGATGCACTTTCCCTAGTAGCTGGGTGTTCTTTTGGGCCTGGAAGTAAAGTGATTACAATAAACTTGCCAGGATTCTCGTCACATGAGCACTCCACCTCTTGGTTCTCACATACTCATGCAGAAAAGATGGGCCACACTTTGCAGAGGTGAATATTCTTTCTTCATATTCTCCTTCATTGTTCATAGTCAGGTAAAGTGTTTATGTAATGTGAATTGACCAGTGTATGGTTTGTTATGACTGCAGCACATGTCCATTTTGCCCATCAATTTTGCATTACACATTTGTACCCTTGCTGTTGGTTTGAACCACTGATTGGTTTTACCAAATAACATACTTCACCTCAGGTCCTTTGGGGACATTTCTAGACCAGAAAGTAGTGAGGGAGTTTCCTATGATGAATGCAAAAAATATCTATTTTATTTCATTTCATTTCATTTCATTTCATTTCATTTCATTTCATTTCATTTCATTTCTAAACTGGTGATACCTACCTAACCAGTCTATGGCTGAGAAATGTTCCCAGCTATTTTTGAATTAGGGAGTGAAAGAGGCCAAATAGATGTATAAGGACCTCATGCTTGCGCTCATTCGTCTGTAAACAGTCTTACCCTCAGCCAATTGGGGGTAAAAGATCTTGCTTACACTGCTCTTTTTCTACAATCTAATAAGGCACTAAACAGGGAGAAGATTGTTCAGGAAAAAGGTAGCAATTGAGCTTTCTTAGAATGCTTCAAAAGAGTTGTAGAAGAGGTCAGAGCTGAAAAATAGTTCCAATTGTAATACCTTTGCAAAGAAATTTTACTATACTGACTACCTTCTATTTTCTTCTCCAGAAATACTATCCACCCTTCCCTACCCTGCTTTGTACTCTAGG